AAAAAATTGCTCATTTGTGAGTGTTGTTGGCAGAGGCAAAGATTTAGAACTGGAAAAGTCTAGGTATCATCATCCAATAATAATTCCATGATTGAATATTTACTGTATGCTGAGTACTTTGCATACATTGACCAATTGAATCTGAAAGTTTTATGAAATGGGTATTTTTATCTCCTTTTTCAAAGATGTAGAAGAGGCTCAAAGATGTTTAGTAAATTGCCTAGAACCATGTGAAGTGGAGTTAAATCAAGTTGTTTTTTTTCCAAATCTGGCTTCAGTGTGGTTCCAAAGAGCAAGTGCCAGTATGGGCCTCTGTGATGGCTCTGGGCAACAGGAGGCTGTCAGGTGGTCATGGCTGAGTGTGCTCTCCACGGTTCCCTGCAGATGGCCAAGGAGTCACTGGCCATTAGCTCTGAGGTCATGGAGAAACACAGCTGCTCTCCCAGGACAAAAATGTGCTTATTTACTAAGGCCAGTGGGAAGATGCCAGTTCCTGTGGGAAGGGTGGGTGGGGTGAGCATGTGGCAGGGGCTAGGGGGGCTGGACAGAGGGTAGAGGGGTGAGTACAGAAGAGGTGTTGGGATATGTCATGATGGCCTTTCACCCTCCTAGATAGCATGGAGCTCTGGACTTTTGCACATGCTATTTATTAGTCAGTATTCATTCATTAATTAAATAAATTTTTTGAGCCCCTCTTAAGTTCTCACTACTTAATCATATGTGCTGGAGTAAGAATATTGAACAAAATGGACAGGCATTCACCCTCTTGGAGCCTACCACCAGGTTGTAGTGGTAAGGAGAAAACAGAAAATATTCATCTTAACAAAACAAGTGAAAAAGATCATCCCACATTTGTGATCCATTATTCACTAAAAAGAAAATAAACAAGGTAATGTACAAACCACCAACACCACCACCTGGAATGCTTTCCAGACCTAATTGTCCTTTAAGATTATAACCCAGATAGCACCTCCTCTGAGAAGTCCTCCTGACACAAGTCTTAGTATAGACAAGTCTCTAACATGCTACCAGGGCGCCTGCTCACTGTGACCACATTTACATCCTGTTTGCTCCAGGTCTGTCATCTAGCCTGTGTCCTTCTTGATGAAAAGAACTAGGTTTTATGCTTCTCACCAATAAGATGCCTATCACAACATAGGATTTTCAAAAACTACTTGTTAAATGAATGGATGGATGGATGGATAGGTTTGGTGTGCTTCAGGGTAAAACACTGAGCCTCTTCCTAGTGCAGTTATGGCCTCAAAACTGTAATCTGTTTGTATTCTTCCTAACTACTATGAGCTGTCCTCTTTGGTTTTCTTTTAAACATATTTTGGGATTTGAATGAATGAGAATGATTTGCACTGCAGCATATGGCTACTTTAATTAAGCAAAGGGTATCATTTTAGTAGCATAATAAATACTGTGTAATTTATCGGGCCTCATGTGTATTTTGCGAGTATGCCATGTGGGCTATATAAATCTTTCTATATTTGGGAGGGGTGGAAAGAATCACTATTGATCTGATGCAAGATGGTGCATGGGGAAAAAAAATGACTGAACATCCCGATTGCCCCAAAAGAGGTGGCTATCCATGCTGGAGTTATCTGGGGGTTTCCTGGGTACTCTCAAATGCAGAGAAACTAGGAAGAAATGGAAAAGAACCACTGTTGCAGAACTAAGGAGTAATGCTCCATGTTCGCTACTCACTGAAGAGGGAGGACTCTGTAGGAACAAAGTGCTGCTTAGAGAACTGGAAAGTGGCCCTGGGCTCCTGGGCTTTGTTGCTAAGCATTTGCCTAGGGCTGTAGAATTAGAATCCATCTGGGAGAGGGGAGGACTAAAAATAAGGCAGGGGAAAGCAAGCTCACTGTGTGTGATGGAAACCCAGAAACATAAAGATATGGCAAAGAAACACTAAACTGATTAGAAACAGATCCCACACTGGCTTCTGGTAGCCTGTTTGGGTCCAGAGCTTTTCAGTAAGCAGGATGCCATTGTTCCTGAAAAGGGTTCTCTGACTCTCCTGAGAATACCTGTTGTAGTGATGGGGGACTTTCTTGGGTCAGCACTCATTGAGAAACAAGAGGGATGGTGCCCAATGTTGTGGGACGGGGATGCTTGGTCTTTGGGAAAATAACATTTGGACAAGGGGGAGTGCTAAAGAGTGAATTTTCCCATAAAGCACTCAAAAAAAGTTTCTCAAAAACAAGAAAACAAACAAATAAAAAAAAACTGCATTTATCTTCCATATGGGAGCAAAGCAGAGAAGGATTCATGGAGAAAATGGAACTAGTCCTGGGTCTGCAAGGGAGAATCACATTAGATGGAGGGCATAGGGGGAGGTTGTCAGCAGACATGGAGAGATTGTGGGCACATCCTATATCATGCCTGTTACTGCATTTTATGTGCATCCCATGTGGGATATACCAATTATGTCCATCATCTATTTCTGAGGTTTCAAAGAGATACAAGTGTGGGGGTGCAGAGCAGTTGTGGACAGGGCATGCCAGCCTGATTTTACATCTTTCTAGAAGTACAAGGAGACCATATTGAGAAATTCCATCCAAAAGAGAGTGTACAGAACCTTGAAGGCTTGATGTATACATTTTAAAATAAAAGGTATATTTACTAGCATCTATCTTCATACAATGTTCAAGGAACTGTATTTAGGAGCTTGGGCTATATTGGGAAGTATTCTAGTCCACAAAATGGACATCTTCCTTTACTCAGGCACATTAGATTCCACATGAACAACACTACTCCTCAACTGTCTAACCTAATGTGCTTCTTCCCTCTATTCCCAGTTCCAGGCACCCAGTCACCTGGGCCATAAATTCTGTATTCTTCTAGATATCTCTCTCATTCTCTGTGTTCATCATTAGTCAGCCAGTCCCATCAGTTTCACCTTCTAATCCTCCCTTCAGTCTCTCAACTCCTTTCTATTTTTCTTCTTGAAGTATTGCAGTCATGTCCCAACTAGGAACCCTGCCTCTAGACATGCACTCCTCAGTTTTAGATCTTATACTACTATTACTATGTAATTTTCTGCTTAAAACTATCCCTGGACTACCCTTAGCAATGGAAGATGTTGATTTTGTAAGCTTTAGAACATTTTGTTTCAAATGGAACTTCAGTATATGAGAGGTAAGAGTCAAAGACTTTGATGAATGTCCTGTCTGATCAGTCTTGCTCCTTATCCTAAGTATCAATGAAGAGCCCAGCACTCTTAAAAAGCAGCCTGAAAACTCAATGAGAATGTCCATGCCACTTAGCATGGTCCATGAGCCGGCCAAGGGCCATCTCTTTTGTCCTCCCACCCCTGTTCCAACCTCCTGCCACTCTCTCCCTCACACTTCAGGCTCTAATAGCACTGACCTGCTTGCAGATCTTCCCATGCATCTGATGTTTCACATATCTGTACTCTTGTCCATTCAATACCCCTCCTGGCCCATCCTATTACCCTCCCATTGGCTTCCATTTATTCCATTAATCTCTCCAAATTCTATTTAGGCATCAGCCCCTAGTAGAGCCTTGTGGCTGTAATGCACCCCTAGCCCTATGTAGATTTGTGTGTACAATCTTCTCAAAATTGTGAGCTTCTTGTGGACCTGACTTTGGCCTATTCATCTTCACTGTTTCCTAGCACAGTGCTCCTAGAGGATGTTGCATGATCTTTATTATATTGAGTTGTGAAACACCCAACCAGGTGCCTCTCCTACATTCAGTGAAACTGCCTGGCATCCTGCTGTGTTGCCCTATGATCTCAAAGATTGCAGAATCTCTCCTCATACCCATGTCAGCAGACTCAGAGCACCTAGTACTTTCCCTAGTGTGGCCTGTGTGGGCCCTGGCTGATGGATGGCTATTTCACTTGCTTTCTCCCTGCCAGGCCTAAAAGTAATACTAGCACTTATCACAGATAAAATGACTTATCAAATACCTTGGGCATGAGGCCAGTGAACAGGGCTGTTGAGTAGTGACAAGAGACCGTTCTAAGATGCTAAGTGACATGAAGCTTTTTGAGCCAATCATAGCAGCTTCTTCAGACAGACAGCCAATGATGTGGCTTGACAGGATAGGGACCAATCATTTCCCTTCCCCATCTAGGCCACTGCATCAAACCTCCTCTCTCAACATCCCTCTCCTCTGACAGGAGCTGGTCCAAGTCTGAGTCAACAGGCACTTAATACAGAAGATTTAGAGGACAAAAAGTCCCTGGTCACTGTGTTCTTTGGGGGATGAGGTGGCTAAATAGGAACTTCACAATAGTTATGGAAAATAATGGTGTTATGGGCTGAATTGTGTCTCCCTCAAAATTTATTTGATGAAAGTCCAACCCTAGTCTTTATAATGTGACTGTATTTAGAGATAGGCTCTTTAAGAAGGTAAAATGAGGTCATTAGGGTGGCCACTAGTCCAGTATGTATGGTTCCTTATAAGAAATTTGGACAAATATACATTGAGAAGGTGTCTATCTATAAGCCTAAGAGAGAGGCCACAGGAAAAATCAACCCTACTCACATCTTGATCTCAGACTTTGGTTCCAAAAGTTTGAGACAATACATTTCTGTTGTTTAAGAGAGCCAGTGTGTGGTGCTTTGTTATAGCCGCCCTAGCAGCAGAACACAGGTGGGTATGGTGTGGTGGGGGTCTCAAGCTGGCACAGGGTCTTTTCAGATGATGATAAGCTCCTGAGTGTGACTGTAAGCCTCTTGGAAAGTTTCCTGATACCTGTCCCCATAAGCAGTGCCCACGTTACCTGCTCACATACAGTCTTGTTCCTGCCTGGCTCTCATCACCCCCTGATGGAAGTTCTGTGTTTGTTTACTCTCCTGTTTCTCCCCACTGGACTCTGAGCTCTCTAAGGATAGGGATTGTGCTTTTATTCCCAGTGCTTGGTACAGAGAGGGTGGCCAGTTAGTAAATATTAATGGGTTTGATGAATTGAGATGGGCTCTGCCCTGGGTGTTTTCCATCAGTATCTCTGCCCCAGTCCTTCTGCTCCGTAGGCTGATCTGACTGGGGGCTCTCAGTTCCCTTCCTCTCCAGCTTTCCCAGGCGACTGGCAGCCCTGGTAAACAGCCCACGCAAGGAGGAGGTTTGAGACGCAATGGCCTAGATGGAGAAAGGAGATGATTGGTCCCTGTCCTGCCAAGCTACATCATTGGCTGTCTGTCTGAAGCAGCTCCTGTGATTGGCTGACCAAGCAGTAAGTGAGGCGAATGAATTTCTTCCCTCTAGGCACTTCCTTTTAGCTTTCTGGCTGGGTGAGCAGGGTTGGTTGTTGCTGAGTTAGTTCTATCTAGTCTGTTTGCTGCAGCCTCAAGGTGCAGAAACTGCTCACAACTCTGAGCAAACAGCCCTTTTGTGGTCCTGCAGGGAAGGGGATTAGATGTGGGTCAGCAGGGGTCTAACACAATCTTTCTCTGTTGGCCAAACAAAACAACTATTGATATTCTTTCTCTCTGGACTTAACACCTTTAACTGAAGACAGAAAATCAAATCACCTAAATTCTAGGCCCAATCTTTGCTCCCCGCTTTCTTTGGTTTCTCTCCTGGGGTTATGTCTGTATTTTCCTTTTTCTGCAAGTTAAAAATGTCAAAGACGAGTGGGGGGAGAGAGAAGGGAAAACATATGGAAATGGTAGGAGACCCTCAATGTTACACAAAATTACATAGAAGAGGATGTGAGGGGAAAGGGGGCGGGGAAACAAGGGAGAGAATTGAACAACAGCAGATGAGGTAGAGAGGGATGATGGGTGGGGAGGGGAGGGGGGATAGTAGGAGATAGGAAAGGTAGCAGAATACAACAGTCACTTATATGCCATTAGGTAAAAATGTGAGTGTATAACCGATGTGATTCTGTAATTTGTATTTGGGGTAAAAATGGGAGTTCATAACCCAATTGAGTCAAATGTATGAAAGATGATATATCATGAGCTTTGTAATGTTTTGAACAACCAATAAAAAAATATTAAAAAAAATGTAGATTACAGGCTGAACTGTCAAGTCAGGAAGGTTTGACAGATATAGTGTCTCTTCCACCCTTAGCAGCCTAGAAATGTTCTCTACTATTTCAAATGCCCCAGCAATGTTTGGAAGTTTATAAGATAATAATAATAATTAGTTATTATTATTAAATATAAAAGCTGCTAACAGTTAAAGTATTCTGCATATAGTTTTTTAAAAGTTTTTTTTATCTGTCAATGGACCTATATTTATTTATTTATATGTGGTGCTGAAAATTAAACTCAGTGCCTCACACCTGCTAAGCAAGTGCTCTACGGCTGAGCCACAACCTCGGCCCTCTGCATATAATTTTAATGTTACTTTCATAGACATTTTTCATTTGTCCTCAAAATCTTGATGTAATTTACTTTTTTTTTCTTTATATTTTCATTTTTCAGGTAAAGAAAAATCTTAGCAGTGGCTTGGCCAGTGTCACAGGGATGCCTAAGTGGGGGCTTACAGACTCCTTAGATGAGAAAGTGGTATTACCACTGTAAATGAGGGGGAGTATATTTGTAGGAGGGAGGCCATTCCTAAAGTTTAACTCTGCAGACTGGAAAATCAACATCACCCTCCTTTTCTGACCCAGTTTCCAGTGAATGTTAGTCCTGCTCACTCCCAGAGCAGGCTTGGCTGCTCCCTGAGTTGCTCCTGTGGGTGACATGCTCAACTGTGCTAGGTGAGGGTGAGGGTGGTGACCAGCCAGGATGTGCTTTCCGTCCTACCTGCGTCCTCTCCTCTCTGCTGCTGCTTGCTCTTATGGAGGCTGGGAGGGTGAGGCTATCTGTCTGTTATTTTCTTATAGGGACATTGCTGTGCTCCCTGCTTTTTGTCCCCCTGTTTACATAGGGGATCCCTGGAGAGTGGTCCTTACATCATTTATTTTGTAATAGAGCTTCAATAGTCGAGCTGGAGTGATCATGCCTTGGATTCCTGATACTTCTTTAGTTCTTTCTGGACCTCCTCTCATGCCAGATAGCTTTTCTGTATGTTCATTTCAGTTTTGTGAAAATAGCATCAACTTAAAAAAAACATAAGCAAAAGACTACTTTGTAGAAAATGGGAACTAGGATGAGTAAATGGATATATGTGATGGGAGGTAATGATGCCTGAGGATGAATTCCAGGGCCCTTTGTAAGACTTTGAAAGGTTTCCATCCTTATTTTCCTGTGTGTTGGTGTGCTGGGTTGGTACATGACTCAGAACTTACTTAAGGGCAGCCACATTTGAGAAAATCCTTATAAAGTGCTTGAGCCAATGCCTGGTACATGGGAAGCCCTCCAATAATGATTGCTATCTCTATTGTTAGTGATAGAAAAGGGACAGTGAGAGAAAAAAGACTTAATCTGGTCTCTTCCAAACTGTTGAGATAGCCTCCCTCATGCAGGGGTCAGATTTGTGCCTCTACTGACTATTAAAATGGACAATGAGATGTCTCATGAGGGTGGGATAGGCATCTGGCTCCTGAGCCTTCCATAGTGAGAATCACCCCTGAGATCTGCTTATTTTATTCCAAGTATTTGATTTGAGATTTTTGTTCCTAGTAAAATTAAGACTTTACTAGTGACTAAGGTGGCTACTGATAGTTTTTATTAGTTTCCTACAGCTGCCATATAAATTATGACAAGCCTGTGGCTAAATATATCAGAAATTTATTCTCCTAGAATTCTGGAGCCCGAAGTCTGGAATTAAGGTGTCAGAAGGACCACACTCCCTTGGAGTTTCCAGAGGAGGATCCTTCCTTGTGTCTTCCAGCTTCCAGGAGTTCCAGGCATTCCTGGTTTGTGGTAACATTTCTCTTCCAGTCCCTGCCTCCACAGTTATGTGGTCATCATCTCAGAGTCTGTCCCTTCTTCTTCTAAGGATAGTAGTCATATTGGATTAGGGGATCATCCTTCTCCAATATAGCCTCAACTCATCTTAACATCTGTAAGGACTGTATTTCCAAATAAGGTCACATGTCGAGATATTGTGTTCACCCCATCCTTTTGGGGGGGACATAATTCAACCATGTCAGGGCTATTCCATGGTCCATCTCAACAGGACTTAAAGCCAGCAGGGCTCTGGTGCATGCCTCAAGCTTCACTTTTTCCAGAAAAAGAATGAGCCTGATCATAGCCAAGTTTCCCTCTGTCTTGTGTAGCTTGTTGGGCCCTGCCTCAGCCAGTCTGATTAAACACTGTGCATAGACCCCACCCCACGCATCCCACATGGCCTCAACTCCATGCAGGGCATAGTTAAGAGTTCTGACTGGGGCTACTCCTCCAGGCCAGAGCCTCTCCTGCTAGAGAGGGTCAGTCTCCTGGAGAGAACATGACTTATCTGCCTGTCTTTCCCTCTCACACCACTCCCTGTCCCCAGACCCCCATACTGCTGCCAGAGAAGTTGTCATGGCACAGACACTCTGAAATCTCATTGTCTGGAGAATGGAGAAATTGGCTCAGGCTGAGTTACAGTCACAGCTGAGCAGAAAAGCAGGGTGGGGAGGGGGGAGAGAGAGAGAAAGAAAGAGAGAGGGAGAGAAAGAATATTAATGTGTGCTCAGAGCAAGAGCTGAAGCTCAGAGACACAAGGAGGGTCAGGGATGACTCTGATTCTGCAGTAGCTGTCCTGCCTACCCAGAGGAAGACCTGGCTCTGCTTCCAGAATCATCTTCTGGTCTGTGGAAGATGTCTGGCCCTGTCACTCAGCCACTAGAGTAGCTCTGCAGCTCTGAAGCAAGGAATAGAGTAACTCTCTGCAGGGTTATTTATTATACTCCCAGTTTGCCTCAAAAGGAGACAGTCATTGGCTTTCACTATTTTTTTCCTAGAAAGGTCTAAATGTTCTTTTATTAACCTATTAGTTTTAATTATATACCCATAGTCATTTATTTGCTAATCTGAAACGCGAACACCCTGGATTCAAAGAAAAGATTCCCCACCAACCCCCACCCCTTTCCCTTACTCCTGTGAAGTGTTTAAATCACTTGTCAACACAGAGGGAATAATAATAATAAAAAGAGTGACATCTGATCAGAGAGCAGGGGAGTGGTGGAGAGAAACCAAGCCTGGCTGCCGTCAGAGCTGAGGAGTCTCCTCCATATTCATCAGGGAGGCGGCCACAGCCAGGGGAGCTCTGGTGCAGCAGGCAGGGAGAGCAGGCCCCGGGGCTGGCTGGTGCTCAGAGCTGCCTGTTCCACGTCCAGAGTCTCCTTTAGGACTTCATAGCTCAGGTCTTCTGGAGACCCACAGAGGCCACATGGGTGCTGCTGTTGTCAGTTTCTATCTGCCCCAATATCCTTGACAGGCGAGGCTCCTCCTTGAGATGTGTGGAGTGTAGCTGAAACCAGGAGGAAACAAGATACACACACACACACACACACACACACACACACACACACTCACACATACTTATAGTTGTTTTGTGGGAAAATGCAGGATTATAGTAACCACCACAATTATGATTGGTACATCAGTGATGATAACTCATTTATAGATGTGACAAAAAATAAAATAGGCTATTATTACATATTATTCCTTCTGTGTAGCCTGCAATTCCACCTTTTTCTCTTCCGGCTATAAGAAAGCTTCTCAGAATAAAAGGCGGGGGGGGGGGTACTGTTATTACAAGCAGATTCTTGAATTTATTTCCATATACAAATACAAATCTAAGTATAAATAATAATTTTAGCCAACATTTGTTGTTATCTTCTTTGCCAGATGTTGTGCTAAGCACTTGGCATCTTGTCTACTTAATCTGCATACCTTAGCAGGGAGATGTTATGATCACTCCATTTTACAAACAAGTAGACTGAGGTTTAAGGAGATGAAAAACTTGACCAAGGTCACCAAAACAACCAGCAGTGGAGCCAAAATTCAGACCCTTGTTGGACTCCAAAGGGCCTGCTTGAAATGATTTTGTTATTCTGATTCTCAAAAGAAATTTATGATAAAGTAAGCAATTTGCAAATGTTGGTACTTACTTTTGGTAACAAATTACTTGTGACATCCCTCACAAATGAGCCTGAGAATTGCTGGTGTAGGGCAAAGGGAAGGAGGTGGAATGTCAGAAGGCCCATGTGCCACTCTCATTCTTACTCTGCCTTGTAAATCTAGGCAATTCACTCAGTGATATGTGCAGGTCCCCCTCTGGGGCCCTTGGAGTTGGACATGGCTTCAGGCATCTGGCTTTATTTGAGAGTGCCAAGGAGAGCTGGGGCTGCCGAGAGGAGCAGCTGGCCTGTGCAGAGCCTCTGCAGGAGCAAATAGGAGAACTATTCAGTGAGTTAAGTCTCACAGGGAGCCTGGGGACCCTGTAGGGGTGTGGGGCTTAGTCCACAGCCCCCTGGATGATTCTTCCCTTGACAGAAAGGAACCAAGTGTCTGAAGATGCTCAGTCAAGGAAAAGGGTAGGACAAGGGAGAAGGTTGGTATTCCCTGGAGATGTCACTATGGAAGATGCTTATGATCGGCTGAGTCCCAGTAATGGACACATATACTAGAAAACCCTGGCCAGAGGTGGGAGCTGTAGGGGCCTTTTATGAAAGCAGAACATGGAATAAGAAAGCTGGTAAAAGCGGAAACCAAGAGAACTTGGAAAGATCTGAGTCAAAACCCAGTAGGGAGTTTTGGTCAGAAATTCAGGAAGATTGGGAATCCTCTGAGATTGAATTCAAATTTTGTGCATTCCCATGTTTGGGTCCACAGCCAACAGCCTTCTGATTAGTTTCTCACTGATGTGAGACCCTAAACAAAAAAGAACTACTATCCCACACTATCTCTAGCAGGGGACAAATGCTTGGTTAATATAGCGTGGCAACTTTGCTGGAAACCTAGAAGGCAGAAACAGTCTCCCCCAGGTCAGGAGAAAGCCATCAGGTTCCTCCACCTGGAGAGCATGGACAGCATGAGGTTTCTTTGTGCACCATGTCATGGTGTGTTGGCGCCTCTGTTTCAGCTCCTCAAGAAGTCTGAGAACACACTGGGACTCCAACACCTTCAGCAGGTGTCACAGACTGACCATTATCCAGGAGCTTCTGCTCCGAGGGGATTTCATGTCACACTTGTGTGCAAGTGATAGGCTATGTTGCAATCATGCAGGACCTAGGAATAAAGAGTTTCAAAAAATAATTAAACAGGCAATTTGATAATTGGTCCTACCTTCCCTACTCTGTTCACCAAAGATACATAAAACCTAATGAATCACATTTTGCTTAGGACCAAACCATCTGCCATTTCAAAGTAAGATGTCTCCCTGTCCTCCTTATCTTCTCTAGGTCCCACAAAGGATGGTTCCTAGGACTGGGTTTTGCTTCTCTAAGAAACCAGGCATCTTCCTCTATGATTGAGATTTATCAAATAACAGTCTTGTTCCAATTTACCTTGATGCTAGAGAGACTAAGGTAAGTCCTATAATGCCTCATTTATCATTATTAAAATTTATAAAAATTAACTCCAAAGCTGAAATTTATTCATTCAGGAACCAGAATCACTTCTTAAAAAAAATTAATCATTTTTAAAAATTATGTCATTTGCAGGAAAATGGATAGAACTTGAGAATATCATGTTAAGCCAAATAAGCCAAAATCAGAAGGTCAAAGGTCTTATGTTTTCTTTCATATCTAGAAGCTAGAGAGGAAATAGGAAAAGAAAAGTAGGGCAGGGATCTCATGAAAATTGAAAGGGGATCAGTAGAGTAGAAGAAAGGGACCAGGAGGAGGGAGGCAGGAAGCGGGGGTTGGGGGGGATTTTGGAGGAGTAATACTGGCCAAATGATATTATTATATCATACACCTGTATGAATATGTAATAACAAATCCCACCATTGCGTACAACTATAATGCATCATTAAAAATATGAATAAAACAAACAATTAATGATATTCGGTAGATTTTTTTTTCAAAAACGCATAACATACTCTGTGTCCTCTTTACACAGAGACTACAGATCATTTTGTGGAGCTGCAGTCTATTTTCACACCTGCCTTGACATTGCTCTTACTCCCTCTTCATGTAAGATCGGCTTCCACTCCTTTTCCTGTGGGTAAGATTCTTGCTGCCTTTCTTCTGTCACAATGGCCAAGCCCTTTCATTTCCTCAGAGATGCACCAAGATAACATCTTATAGACTGGGAGTTCTCAGATATGGCCTGAATAAAATCTCTAATCATACCCAAGAAAGAGAAAAGACAGACTTCCTCCAGAGAGACCTATTAATGAGGTATCCATCTCAGCCCAAGTCCTCTGCTCTTTCTGGTCTCGCCTCTAACTCAGCTTAAAGGAATTTGGACATCTGATGACATTTGGTGGCTTTGATGCTGCAGACTTGGACGACTGTTTCCTGGCAGTTCACTGGTGGATGAGGGTTCAGCACCCTCAGGACCCAAGCTTTTTCCCAATTGCTCTCTATCCCTTCTTAGCACAAATCGTGTTCAGACAGTTGGGAGCAAACATTATTCTATTAGAATGTCTGGCATCTATAATGCATAAGGCATGCATGGGGACTTCCACAGTGAGACTTGAAGGCCAAAGGACGTGGAGGGCAGCACCTATGAGCTCCTGAAGCAGCGTTGGCACAAAATTGGCTGTGGCTGTAGTCTGACTTAACAAGAAGAATCTGTTATTAAACTGAGTTTTTTGAAATTTGGGGATCTGGAGTCAAGCAAAATAGGGTTATAATTCTGCCTCTGCTGTTTCTGGGGGTGTGACTGAGACACATGGCTTCCTCTCCCAAAGCCTGAACACTCTAGCTACAAAAAAGGGATAAAAGTCTCTTCCTCAGGGGATTGCATGAGAATTACATCGGACAACGTGTAGAGAGTATTTGGTGTGGTGCCTGGCACATAGTAAGAAATCAATAAACATTGTTTGTTGCTCTTCTTATTCTGTTTATCATTGTTATTATCATTATATAATTCACCTCAGTGTGAAAAGTTAGCAAAACCAATACTATGAAGAGCAGAAAGCCATGTAGGGCCTGGTCCTGTTTGAATTAGCTTAAAAAATGGTTAGTGCCATAGTACAAATTTTATTAGGGGATGCCAGCCTATGGCTTGCTCTCCAAGCAGAGACACTAAGAGGCATTTGAATTTGGACATGGTAGATAGATTCAGGAGTCTTCAACCTGCAGACAGTATTGAACCCTGGTGCTAGATGCATCTCATTTCCCTAGCAAGAGGAATTGAAGAAGGTGTCTGACACTCGTGGGCAGGAGCAAAGGAGGCTGAGAAGGAATAAGTAGTGAGGTAGGAGGAAAGCAAGTGTCCTGGAGGCCAAGGGGAGCTGCAGAGTGACTGAGGGAGAAGCCAGGAGGGGACAAGGTATGCCGTGCAGTGAGGTTGTCAGGACCTCAGTGGAACCAGTTTCATGCAGGGAGCTGGTGCTGTTGCCTGATGTGGGGTGCTGGGAGAAGAAAGAGAGGGGAGGAAGTCTCCATCACCAACCAAGGTGATTCTTTCAAGATGCTTTGCTGAGATTTCTCCCCAGGGACTGGAATGGGAGTGAGTCTTGTCAGTAAATGTGTGACAATGAGAAGGAAGAAAGGGTGGCCACTCCTCAGACCTGTCAGCTGGCCGAGCATCCTCTGGGAGTAGATTCCACTTGGAGGGGAGAAATGAATGAAAAGCTCCCAGAGGCTGCAAGAATGGCTTTCTCTGCAATTGCCTCTGTGGCATGGGGAACAAGCCTTGCGGGAACAGAATATTCCTTCTCATTCATCATACTGCACGATGCATGGCCCACGTCACACTGGGACTGTCCAGACCCCTGGGACATTACCCTGCTCCGAAGAGCTTTGGCCACGCCCAGTCTGGTCTTACAGCCAAGTGCCCTGGGACAGGTGGCCTGAGATGAATCAGACAGCTAATTAGTACTCTGTCCCCGCCTAAAAGGAGCCAGAGACACACAAATTGCTCCCAAGAGGGAGGGAAGGCGGCAGAGAAAAGGGAGGTAGGGAAACCAACAGGGGTTACATCAGAAAAACAACACCATCCAAACAGCCTCACATCCCAAATCGGTGTTCTCCCTCCAGTATGAGTAGCAGAGGTAGCTGGCACCCCAGGGGACCCCTGAGGTAAGACACCTGTGTTGGTTGGTGCCTCATTACCAGCAAGACACATGTGGCTTCCAACTTGAGTGAGGACAAAGTTTCTCTATGCATGGCTAATGTGGTGTCTCATGTCATCTCTGCTGTTTCCTGTCATGCAGTCCTGAGAATTTACAACAGAATGTCAACATCCAGCTCTGTCCTCAGCAAACTTACCATTTGTGCTTGGTAAGAATCACACTGAGGCAATGGCCAGTTATGTACTAACCAAGGGGGTGAAGGAAGTCACGGAATTTACAGCATCATGTTTTAGGGAAGAGAGCAACAGAGAAAGTTCTAGAGAGTTAGTCTAATTATGGTGCCGCCACTAATCAGTGTCACGTTTCTGGCTGGACGGATCACTTTACCACTTAGGGGTTCAGAAACAGGAAAGTCTGGGCTAAGTACTACTCTTACCCTCAGAATCTGAATCCAGCCCCTTCCAACCAAAGTATTCCTGTGTCTTTACAGAAGCACGTCTCTTGTTTTTCATATTCACTCCATCCTAACTTTTGAGAGTCTAGCATTCCTGTTGCTCTCAGTTCTGTGTGGGCAGACATAGTGAGAAAGAAACTGGAGGTGGGAAGAGGAGCAAAATAATTATTCATTTGAGAGATGGGGAAGGAAGTCTTAAGACTGTAATTAAAGACAACTGCCCACAGTGAGCACATCTAGTGCCCAGATCTTGGCTTCTAATGTTATTCTCCCATTAAAAGGAACTAGGGTTTCTTAGAAAAATGGCCTATTGGCGGACTGTGTTAGAAAGTATTCAAGATGAGCTGGACGTGTCACATAGTTTCAGAAAGTAAGGCAGTGCTCACATACACACACCCCCACCCACAATGATGGGAACGTATCCAAAAGAACATAGGAGCCAACTGGAAGAGTTCCCAATGGCCAAAGCTGGAAGGATTTGAATAAGAAAATAAAGAAATATTGGATCATTACCCAAGGCATAAAATAAATATTCATGAATCTATCCTGACATAAATAAATGATTTGATAAATACATACATACACACTTACATAAATGAGGGAGAAAAGATGAGTCTTCTGCACAGAATTCCAAATCAATTTAGGTGGATATTTCACCTTAAAGGGGTGGGAATATGTCTCCCCAATCTGCAGTTGTGTGCTACACATGGTGACTTCCTTCTGAAGAGTACAGTGTGGAAAGGAGGGAGAAAGCATCATGTCAGCGTGGAGGATTGGATGAGGACACCCCAACAGCAGCGGGGGCTACATCACTTCGGTAAGTCATGTGGCCAGAATGTGCTCTTGAGGAAAGCAGCAGGCTACCTCCATGGTCTCCTCCCTAAACCTGTCACTCCAATGTGGTGGGGAAAACTTCAACAAAGCCCAGTGCAAGGACATCCTTCAAACTGTCCAACTACGTTCCCTAAAACTGTTAAGGGAAAGGAGGGGCCTAAAGAGATGTGATCCTGGGACAGAAGAAGTACATTAAGTAAACTGAGGAAATCAAACTGAACTAGGGACTTTGATTAATAATAATGTGTTAATATTGGCTCCTTTATTGTAGCAAATGCACAGTACCAATGTAAACTGCCAGTAATTAGGGAAGTTGGGTCCTGAGAATAGAGGAAACCCTGTACTACACGATTTTTCTGTCTAGGGGTGGGAAGGCTGTCTTGTGGCCATGATGCCACTAGCAATCCATCCACACACTGGGGTGGCAGAACTGAGTATTCTCTAGACAGAGAGAGAGAGATCACCTGGGTCCTTGGGGGGCATTGTCAAATGGCTGCATAAGCCCTGGATTACCTACTTCCAGGATTCTTATTAACCAGATCATATAGACCCTACATTTTAATGCTTCAGTAGTTGTAATTTTTGTTATTTGCAGTTAAATATGATTTAGCAATATAAAGACAAGCTAGTAGAGAGGTTAGATGAAGATGAAGACTATAATAGTCACAGTGTGCCAGCAGGCCCAGTGGCAAGGATAGGAAGAAAAGGATGAAAGAAAAGAAGCTGAGACCTTTGGGGAGAGAAGAGCAGGCTTTAGATTAAGAACATTAACAATTTCTTTTTTGTTTGTTTGATTTTTACTAATGAGTATTTAATTTACCTGTGGAACTTTCAACAATGATAAAAGTTTATTTAACCTACACATCCAACCAGTATGGTGTGGGTATGGGTCATTTGTTGAAAGATGAGAACATTCAGGCACAGAGAGGTAAAGTGAACTTTCTCAAGGTCACAAAATAAGTGAGGGGGCAGAGCCAGGAATGGAATCCAGATCACCCTGCCAGAACTGATAGGTGACCCCCTGCCCCACATTAGCTTCTAGGGAGCTCCAATGTATAACATGGAGTAAGACGCAGGATAGAGATGGTGAGAAAACTAGTGACTGAAGGGAGGAGCTGGGGCAGGGCTCTGCTTCATCAGGAAGATCCAGAGAAAGATTGGGATGTTTTGATGATGTTACCAGAGAATCAACAATACACTTGGAATTTAAGTGAACTTAGAAAAGCAGCTACATGTAACTGGGGTTTTTAGCCAGAAAGGATAACAGGGAATTCCTAAAAATCTGGTGTTAGGATACCAGGCAATAATCCTGTGAGTAAAAGTTATTAGAAAATGTTACACTTTATGAAAAAATTGAGCATAAGTACCTATTGCTGAAGATTCAATGAGCATTTCTTAAATACACACTGCAGGGAAAGCAACACGTTAGGCAAGGCGAAGCCACAAAAATAACTACAGCATAGTGTGACCTGTCCTTGGGCAGTCCCAGTTATTGAGAGAACTAGTTGATGCATAAAGAGCTGGGTGTTTGGAATTGCTTTAAATGACAAACTGGGGTTTTATTTTTCTCCAAAATATAAGGATTGAGCCTAGAGCTAGTATGACGTAGGAACACAGAATCTTTCTATATGATCGTGCAGAACAGAATAACCTTGTTGCCAAGTGGGCACAAGTTGGCTACTGAGCCTCTAGCATCATTATCTGTGTCCTGGATAGGAATAAAAAGAAAGCCAAAGTATGAAAGGGCACCACAGCTGTGTCTACTCCTCTTCTTTTAGGGAGCTTTCCTGGAATTCTTAAAAACTAGAACTTTCTCCCACATATTGCTGCATTACATGGACTTTCCTGTCTACACAACAAGCCAGGAAGTGTGCTCATCTGAGATTCCCAGTAAAATTTGGGTCTTCTTCATCCAGACGAAAGAAGAATAATGGCTCTGAGGTGAACAACTAGAACTCTCTACAACCTCCAATACAAAGGCAGGCAGGCGATTTGCCCCACATCAACGCATTGCCTTTTTTTATGCCAATACCATGGTGTCTTGATTATGATCGTTTGTAACAGCCACTATTAGGGTTTGGATATGAAATGTCCCCCAAAAGCTCCTGTGTTCATGCAGGAATGTTCAGAGGTGAAATGTTTGGATGGTGAGAGCTGTAACCTAACAAGTTCCTCCTAGTTTGAATGGACTAACCAGGTGATGACTGTAGGTGGGTGGGGCATGGCTGGAGGAGGTGGGTCACTGGAGGCATGCTCTGTGGTCCCTTCCCCTCTCTCTCTGCTTCTTGACCCACCATGAGCTGCACAGCTTTCCTCCACCATGCCCTGCTGCCGTGATGTTCTGCTTCCTTTGAGTAATGAGGTTGGCTGATCACGAACTGAAACTAAAACAACAAGCCCAAATAAACTTTTCCTCTTCTAAGTTGTTCTTTTCGAGTATTTTTGTCACAGTGATGAAAAACTAACACAGCCACTCTGGAGA